CGCCACTCGTCAGGAGGTGGGCAAGAGCTTAAAGAACCTTTTCAGACATAGTCAGCTTTCTCCAAAAATATAGCCGCCATAGATTTCATTTTAATATCAAAATAAGTGCATGCCAGGGACAGAAATTCACAGAGGACTCTCAAGGCTGCTGAGGCAAATGGGATTTTGCTTCCCAAGTCCCCACACTATCTTCTCGGGTGTAATTAAATTGATGTGCTAGGGAGAGAGCTGGTGGCCGAGCCACTGAGGTCACTGCCGAGGCTGCTCCCCTCAGAGGGTTGGGGGCAGAGGCCACGGGCTGAGTCTAACCTCCCTCTCACGGTTGCCTCTCTTTCCCACCTGGGCTTAGAATGTGCTGCTGTCTCAGCTTGATTCTGAAAACGCAGGGGTTGTCTTCTTACCAGGGATTTCTGCCTGTTTTGTTCACTGATAGAATCAAGTGTCTGGAACAGTGCAGAGAACACAGTAAGCATTGAATAACTATGTATTGAATGAGTGAATGAATGAGTGAATGGATTTATAGCTTGAGGAGCCTTATCTGGGGGCATATATGCCAAGGGCCTCTCAAACTAGACCCCGTTTTTGAGGATGACTTTGAGGTTACCTTCGGCCCAGACTGCTTTGATGTTGGACTAAATGAGGGAGGGAATGGAGCTTATTTGTGGTCTGTTCTTGATTTATTTGGCGTTGACATCTAAAACCAAGGATCTTCCTATTCTCCTTGATCTAAACTGGTCGTGAATCAATCCTCTAAGCCTATCTACTGGAACCATGACAGTGAACGTAATTCAAAATAGTAAGGATGGTTTGCCAGGAAGGGGTGATGAGTCAGTGAACTCCCCCATCTCTGCCACATCTGCTCTGTACTACTTTGGATCCAATGGTTAAAAAGTGAGCTTTGGAGTCAGACAAGCTAGGGTGCAAGTTTCTTCATCTCTTTAAACCTCAATTTCCCTACCTGTAAAATGGGAATGATAATGATGACGAATATTTCATAAGGTTGAGGTGACGTGTAAATGACATGATGCATATAAATCTCTTAGCTCAGTGCCTGGCACATATTAAATGCTGAGTCATGATGGCTCTCGTGACGAGGCTGAATACCCTGCTGGTCTTTGTGCCCCACCCTCGGCTGCTTCAACAGCACAGGCTGTTGGAGAGGAGAGGACCTCAGAGGTCGTGTGGAGCCAGCGTCCCACCGGAAGCCGTAAAGTTAGGCCTCAGCACCCTGGGGAACAGTCACCTCTCTGCTCTGTCTCGGGTGCTGGTGAGATGGTTGGTTCCTGCAAGGGACGTGCACCACTGGGTTTTTGGATTTGCCTCGTAGGGGTGGACAGAGGGAGGCGGAAGCTGAGCGTCAGGCATAAGGCATTTGCTCTGTGCACAGCCCACGGACAGGTGGCTCTTTCCCAGCCTGGAGACATGAACGTGTGCCCTGCCATGGGAAGGTATGGACACAGGCATGGCAGGTGGTGTGGCAGCCTCCGCCTGAAGACACTTTCCAAAGTAGTGTGCACCCTTCAGGAGTTTCGGAGTTGCCATGGTAACGGCAGGTCTGGGCGCTAGCTTTCCCTCTTCTCTGCTTGGACCTGAACTCTGTCCCAGGCATATCCACAGGGAGGGAGCCGGCAAAACCAAAAACGCCTGCAGCGGTGCTCAGGCTGCCTCTTTCCTTTTTGCTGAAAATCCTCCTGAGAGGGGGCCCTTTCAAATGGGCCACGGGGGACACAGGTTGATTAAACACCTCATAGTCTCCCAGTTCCTCCGTAAACCCAGGTCTCCATGTCCCTGTGGTTAAGGCACAGCTGCCACTGCACAATGGCTAGTCAGTGGCTCATCTGTCTACGGAAATGCCTTCAAGGCTTGGGGTTTCTGATCGGGGTCACAGCTCTCTCTAGCTCCCCTGTAGCTGTGTGCCTCAACTGCCACCGGGCAATGCCCAGGAAGCGTGAGGCCTGCTGGGCGCCTAGGTGCCTGGGAGATGAAATACGCCTGTGAATCCAGGAGCCGGGGGGCGGCTGCTCGGCCCCCACCTCCTGACAGATTCGCATGAGAACTGGGACAGTGGGCAGGAGGGTGTCTCCGCACATCAGCGTCTCCCAAGCTGCTATTACCTGCGAGCCGCCCTCCCGCTTTTCGAGCTGTGCCCCATAAATCACAGTTATGATGCCGCCGGGGACACCTGTGCTACGGGGTACAATAGGCGTCACTTCACTGGAATGAGTAGAAAATTCCAGGGTAGAAAGATGACCATGAAACACCCATTCAGAAAACTAAAGAGACAAAGATAGGAGGCCCGTGGATGCCCAGTAAAAGGACCTCTTCTCGCGGGATGGCGAGAATCCAAGATCTCACTGAGAAATGAAACGCCAGCCGGCTGCCCTCACTGCCCCGGCCACAGCTCCCTCCTCACCACTGCCCAGAAGTGGGCAGGAACCGGCCTCAGAGGAAGCAGAGAGGGGCTATCACTCCCCTTCTGGATGCTGGAAATGAGCTTCTCAAGACAATGGGACCCCTAATCCTCCTGCCAGGTGTGGAGCACATGGACAGCACTGTGGCTGTCGCTGTTCAGTGACTCGGACAGCGTTGCTTCTCTTTGGGTGCCATCGAGTTCTATTTTTACCCCCTTACTCTTTGGTTAATAACGCTGACAAGCCCCCCAGAGAAAAGGACTTCAAGGAGGTGAAAGGAATTGAGTGCCTTTGTTCAGCTTCACCACCCTTGGGAGGCAGCCGGCCAGCACGGAGCTGAGATTTAGGGCATTGATTGCATACCCACGGGCAGGGGTCCTGTCTGACGTGGGGCCAGCCTTCCCATTAGTGCAGGTCTGTTAAGCACTCTCCCAGAATCCTGAGGTCTCTGAAGCATGGCGTGTCCTCAGAGACAGGTGTGCCCCATAGATTACTGGTGCTTTGTTTTAACAACCCACTGGGGGCATCTGCTGACCAACAGTATATGTAACCGGGCTTCTGTCCCTCTGGTACAAATGGTGGTAGAGGACATCTGTTTAACACGCTGCCTTCCCTTCCTTCCCGCCGCCCCGTCGGCACAGATCCTTACGTCAAAGTGTCCCTGCTTTGTGACGGGCGGAGGCTGAAGAAGAAGAAAACCACCATAAAGAAGAACACTCTCAATCCTGTCTACAACGAGGCCATCATCTTTGACATCCCGCCAGAGAACATGGACCAAGTCAGCCTGCTCATCTCCGTTATGGACTATGACCGGTAGGTACGGGCCCCAGAGGGACACGACTCCCTCCGTCTCCTGGCAGCAAAGGGCTTCTTGACCTTGGACCTTGTGGTTCACAGCCTGTTGTCCACCGGCCTCAGGCCTGGCTATAGTCACGGAGAGTACAGGAGCTGGAGCAAGAGCCTGGGTTCCCTTAGGCAGAAGCTCAAACTTCACTTCCCAGCTGCTCCATTTCCATCGGGGCAGCTCCCCTACCAGTTCCCCTGCATTCAGTCCTGACTATTCCCGTTCCTCCCTCTGGCACCAAGTCCTGTCACCTGTCCTTGAAAAGGCCTCTCTATCCTCTCCATTTCCGCTGCCGCTACCACTCCCGCTTGGGATGGCTGTGCAGCCTCCATCACTCCCTGCCTCCGCCCAGCAACATACGAAGGGCACGCCTTCTCCATAAGAGACCGCTTTCTTTCCGGGCCCGCCCTTCTCAAGAACCATCCTTGGCTCCTGGTGCCTGGGCTCTTCCCCTGGAGTCTCAAGGATTTCCATAATCTGGACCCAGCACGTCCATCCTTGATTTCTCCTTTATTGGAGATATTTCTTCCCTTCCGCTGATCCAAATCCCACTCCTCCATCCAGACTGGCTCAAAGTATTTTCCGACGACTCTAGCTGCCAGCACTCCTCTCTCCACTTGTCACTTCTGCCGAGGGAGGAGGAAACCACGCGGCAAAGCCTCCCTCCAGGATTTTTAGCACAAGACCTCGGGCTTACTAGGTGCTCGGTGAGAGTAGTTGAGCGATGATTGATGTTCTTGCTGAGTAACTCATCCCCCAGCTGCTGGGGGTATGGAGCAATGGTGCTCAGAGCAGGTTGATTTATTTCCACATGCTGATAGCATGTCAAGCCTGGGTGTGATGTGCAAGCTGAGTCCAGTAAGGGAAGAGACCTGGACTCTCCAACTCCCCAAAGTCAGGCCATCTGCCCGTCGTTTCCTGGACTCCAAACAAGTGTATCACCTTTTCCTCATCTGTCTGTGTCCAGTGTCCACCCAAGGAGGTGGGGCAAAGCATCACTGTTGCTGGCACCCTACGGCCCTGCCGAGCACCTGTTTTCAGAGCTCAGTGCCCTGAGTTAGACCTGCCAACGGCCCAGCCCCAGCCCACCCTCTCTGAGGGCGCGCCTGGCCCCCCATGGCGGGTCTTTTGTCTCTCCCGCAGAGTGGGCCACAATGAGATCATAGGAGTCTGCCGCGTGGGGATCAACGCGGAAGGCCTGGGCAGGGACCACTGGAACGAGATGCTGGCGTACCCGCGGAAGCCCATCGCGCACTGGCACTCCTTGGTGGAGGTAAAGAAATCCTTCAAAGAGGTGGGTGAGGTCGCCCTCGGCCCTTGGCATGCTTGCTGCATGGCAGCGCGCGCTGGAGAATGGCCGTGGGCTGCTGCGAGGCCTCGCCTTTCTGGTTCCTGGGGGGAGGGGACGTGGGGCCATGCGCTTCTCCCCTAGTGTGATGGGCAGGGAGGATGACCGTGGGCAGCTGCCTGGCAAAGAGCCTCTGATGTGGGGCAGACAGAAAGCAACACTGAGTTTTAGTTGGAAAATAAAAACTCAGAGGGAGCCTTCCCAGAAGCCCCGAATGTTTTCACCAAGGCCCTGGGCCAAGACAGCCCTTGAGGCGCGAACCCCACGGGGGTGAGATCAGAACTTGGCCAGAAATTCGACCTCTGTTGGCAGCAGCAAGTTCCCAAGGCTGCAGCCTGGCAGTCAGGGCAGTTTTCACTCGGAGGGAGACACCAGAGATCGGCGCCGCTCTAATCTACGTTGGTGCCCGCGAGCGCGGCTGTAGGGCCTCACTTTCTGGCGGGTCTAACAGAGACGTAGTGGACCGGGCACTGCCCGGGGCTCCCAGGATTCGGGCTTTGAACTTGGCCCCTCCTGCCCTGCTGTGTAACCCTGAGCCAGTCCTTTCTCTCTCAACTGCAAGGAAAACATCCCCTCTAGTGACCGTTCCTCCGCCCCCCTCCACGGGCCTCCACCGAAGTAAGGCCCTGTGAAGGGGCCTTGGTGCCCCCAGCCTGCTTTTCTCACGGGGCTGGGACGTGGGGGTGGCCAGGCAGGCTTTGCATCTCATTCCGAATGACACCCCCTTCCATATCCTGGAAAGCCCGGTGATCATTCACTCATCTTAACGGACTCCATGCCTTACAAGTCGAGGGAGCTGCGTACAATTGGAAAATCCGCTAATAAAAAAATAAAGCATCATCCCCCTCACCACATGGGCCCTCACTTAAAAGCAGAGTCACCTAAAAACAGAGGAATCCCGTCCCCACACTCTGGGACCCAGAGGTGTGGCAGCCGAGCCAGAGGACCTGCCTGCACCCCACCCCTCCCCCCCGCCTTCTCAGTGGACCAGCCCCTTTCCAGCTGCTTCCAGCAGGGAGGTGTCCCCAGAGAGGCGGGGAGCTGAGGGTTGGAGGAGTGGAATCAGTCCTGGGGGAGCGAGGCCTCGGGGAGCCAGGCTCTTGATCTACCTCCCAGGTGGGTGAGGGCCTTTGAAGCTCCGACCCTGCAGCCTCTGGGCCCCCAAGAGGGCTAAGACATGGACGCAAAGTTCCTGTCCACCCGCGGCCTCGCCTTTCCGTCTTGTGGTGGCCTTGCTTTGGCCACAGCTGTGGAGCTTGAGTGAGCGAGGCTGGTTCCCCAGCTATGCAGCTCTCAGCCCTCAGGGAAGCCTCTGCCTCCTCTTTTCCAGAAGGTTCCCTCTGGAGAGGGGAGGTGAGGTTCCACAACCACCCTCCACCTACACAGAAGGCAGCTACTGACTCCAGGCGACTCAGGGACAGCACCTGGGCTCTCACGGAGGGCTCCTCACTGGTGCCGTGCCCTTACCCTTTAAAAGCCCTTTGGCGATATTTAAGAATGTAGCAAACCATTCAGCATGGGTTAGGGGCGGGGCATAGGATGGGAACTAAGAGGCTCTGACGGGCTCAGGCAGCTCTCGGTCCCCACCTGGTCGTCAGTTTCCTGGTTGATGAATGAGGGCTAGGCTCCTCCCAGGCAACTCTGACCCTCCATGATGACTGGGCAGGGGAGCCAGAATCTTGCACCCCCTTTCTAACCTGCAGTCTGCAATAACCCATCACTGTTACGCAACTGGGCTGCCCACATAAACTGGATGTAACCAGCCAGGCAGGGGTTCGGATGGAGGCAGGGCAGCACAGAGGTGGTACGACCCAGAATCACTCTTCTTTGAGATGAATGCAACCTAATTAAGCCAAATAATTGATTCCAAATCCTGTCTTTTGTGAGTCCAACTCACTCATTCAGACTACAAAAGAAATAAAGATAAAGTAGAATCAAGCCCTTGAAAATGAATATTTGATGAGACAGTAAAGGGAAAGTAACAGTATATGGGAAACGAAAAGAGAATAAATTGATTTATATCCTCTGGGATCTACTTTTTTCTTGACCTCGCCAACGGAGCTCCCCAGACTGCCCCTCCCCACTCGCTGTCCTGCCTTCTTCTGCTCAGCCGATGGGTTCTCTGAACAAAGGAGCTGACAATGATATTCGGCTTGGCAACCTAGGATTCCATCGGTACAAACGTGTATAAGAATTCTATCTACACCTTGAGCACCCACAGCTTAAGGATCTTTATAAACATGCATCCAAAACCCACCGGGCTAATATGAAGTCCGTGTTCTTGGGTTCATGTGACACGTTGCACTTGAACGCTTATCTCAGTCGTCCTTGGAGCTCTCATCCCGCCTTCTTTTCCGTCCTGTTCTGGACACTGAGGGAGAGTCTTGCCCCGGGGCCGCTCTCTCCGGTTTGTATAATCCGAGAAGAAAGCTTGCTCTCCAGCTCCCAGGAGGATAGATGGCATCGCACCTGGGAAGCATCTGTATTTATATTGCACTTTTCTCAGAGGAGTTTCGAGTGCTGTGATCATTTCTCTTTTTATTAACGAGAACAGAGGGCTCCAAACTTGCTCGCTTGTTTGGGGTTTTCACATAAGGTTGAGGGGAGCAAACTGAACTGAAAGGTATTTTTTCCCTGCTGGGATTTCCCCGCCATGAGTGCCAGCATCCTTCCCTCTCTGCCTGTCATCGCTGTCACCACCTACCGCACCCGGGATGGCCAGCAACCTTCTCCAAGGCGTTCTATTTTGAAGGGCCAAGTTCAGACCACCTGCCAGAGAGTTGAGGTCTCTGTTGGAATGTGATTCCTTTCAGGACAGTACAAGGTCTTCCTGGAGTGCAGCCCGGCCTCCGCCCCCAGGAATGACCATCTCCCGCCTGTGGGGACCAGGTCTCCGCTAGTTCACAACCCCCGGACAAGCCTCCTGGGTCATTCATTCGCCTGCCCACTGTCCATGAACCCGTCTCCTCTGTGTTTATCGTCATGGGAAAATGAGGGGTTGGTGGGGAGCCTGTGTGCCTGCTTCCTTTGCCCTGGATAAACAAGTTTGCTCTGTGTGCCTTCTCTTTGGGCTGTTACAGAAGGAAAAACGGGCGCTCTGTGTAGAGATTTCATTTTTTCCTCTGACCTGGCCCATCAGTCAGGTGGTTTAGGTAGCGTGGGAACCCAGGGGAGAAGCCAATAATTACAAGGGACCTTGTACCAACATTAATGGTCATCACAGATAAAGGAGAACTTCTACTAATAAAATGAAGGTCTGTTCAATGAAAGCCTTAGTCACCGTCTCATGTCCCCTTTTGGTTAAGAAAGACTTGAGTCAGAAGTCATGGTGGGCTCGACAAGCAGGCATTTATTGATCTAAAATATTTCACCAGGGAAACCCTCGGTTGTGAGTGCATTCACGTGGATGCTGCGAGCAGAGACTGCCACCCGGAGTTAGGAGTAAGTACCAAAGAGGTTAGGCATCTCACTGCATTCCCTATCTCCTTCCCCTGGCGCGGCCAGGTGCCAGGATGGCAGCCAGGTGGCGTGGAAGGAGCGCCGAGTTGGGAGTTAGGAGACCTGGTTTCGGATCCTGGCTCTGCCCCGAGCTAGCTGTGTCTTCACGTCTCTGTGTCTGTTTTCTTATCTTCAAGAGGAGAGAGTTAGATGGGCTGATCTCCCAGGCCTGCCTCGGGTCTGGCGTGCTGGGTCACGCAGTGGTGGTCAGTACTGCTTGTCCCGCTGTGGTTGGCTGTAACGCTGCCGCTCGGCCTAGACGGGAAGCGCGAAGGGTGCTCGCTTTCCTGAGAACGGGGAGCATGAAGGCGGTCGGAAGGCTTGAGTCTCCTCAGCACCGGGGCCCCCACCTTTCTCCAGAGGAGATGCTGATGGCAAATGGCCTATTCCTTAGGGGGCCCGGCTTTGTCTGGAAATGGCCGTGTTGAGGGGGGAACGGTGTCCTTTCCCCCCCAACACACACACATGCACAAACGCATATCCAGCCCCCACTCAGCCCGGTCACTTCCCGGGGAGACCCTGAGGCTCACAGCAGCACAGGCTGCACTTCTGTTTCGGAAAAGCCATCCTGCCCTCCCCGACTCCCCCTGACATTGTCCTGGGGCACCTAGGAGAGTGTTGGGTCCCCTTCGCTCACGGAAAAGCTGGACTGTCTCCCTCCGAAGCTCACAGCCCCCAGGCAGGCTGGGAACATCCATCCGCAGGATCAGCTCCTGGCCCAGCGAACACTGCTGTAGCTGTGACTGGCTGGCCTTTCCATGTAAGCAAGGGCCAGCTGAAGCTCACAGCCCCCAGGCAGGCTGGGAACATCATCCGCAGGATCAGCTCCTGGCCCAGCCAACACTGCTGTAGCTGTGACTGGCTGGCCTTTCAATGTAAGCAAGGGCCAGTTCAGTGATGGCGAACCTTCTGAGCTCGGCGTGTCAGCATTTTGAAAAACCTTAACTTAACTCTGGTGCCGTGTCACATATAGAAAATTTTTTGATATTTGCAACCATAGTAAAACACAGACTTAGATTTTTGATATTTATTTTATATATTTAAATGCCATTTAACAAAGAAAAATCAACCAAAAAATGAGTTCACGTGTCACCTCTGACACGCGTGTCACCTCTGTTTGCCATCACTGGCCTAGATGCTCAAGTGCGGGTCCATCAGCCTCACCCTCTCCTTCACCCCATCATGCCTCATGACATCACCTACTTTCACAGAGGGGCTAGGGCTGGGCTGAGAGGAGGCAACCCCGAGACGAGAGAGCCAAGGGGAGCAAAGGCGGGCACCCGGGAGGGGAAGGGGCTGCCGGCCCTCCACCTCCTACCTCTTCACCAGTCAGCGTGGATGCCCCGAGGAAGCATTAAGACTGAAGAACGCCCAGAGCTAGAGCAACATCGGGCTTTTAACTGTCTTAACAGCTTGCAGACAAATCGCTAATAATTCATGATCGGGCTCTTGACAGGGAGGGCATACTCTGCAGCCTGCCTCTCTCGCTAACATAATCTGATTTTCCGTGTAAGAAATGGCAGAAGCTCAGAAACGGCCCAGTCACCGCACCTCCTCGACATACACACACACACACACACACACACACACACACACACACACACAAAGCACGCTTTCAGATCTCTGCAGTAGGTCTATTTCTAAAATCAGGTATTCCCAGCCAGTAGCCCTAGAGCTGTTCCCTTACGTTTTGTGCATGGCTGACAGCAACACTCAAGAAAGCTTCCAAGAGTGAATTCAGTGCATGAGCCAGACCAGTTCTGGAAGCTGAGCTGTCAGTTTCCTCCGCAATCAATAACCGCCTTCTCTCCTCCCAGCAGTGGCAGGGCCGCGCCGCCAGCTTCGACAGCGAGAGCTCGTGCCCCTCTCCGAAGCCACCTCCGACCCCATGAGCCGCACGGCCGAGCCACACCAACGGGACCCAGCACCGTTCTTTCTGCACCTGTTCAACCGTCTAAACACAGTGCCGTGCCGTCGGCGCACCAGGGGCAGCGCGGCACACGGGGTCCTACCTGCTCCTGTGTAGGTCAAGGCCGAGACACTTGTCCTGCGCTCAGATCTGTCTTAGTCCTTTCTGTCTCCCAAGGTGATGTTTTTTTGTGTGCGTGTGGTTTTCACTTTTTCTGGATCTGCTGTCAAGAAAGGAAGAAAAAAGAAAGTGGGCAAAAACAGAGCGGAGAGCCCGGAAGTCGGTTCAGTAAATGAGAGTGTAAAATAGTCGTCTCTGGGGGAAAGGTGATGGGAATTTCTGCAATGTGTGTCTCCATCAAGTGCCACTACCCTGGAGAAGGAGGACGTGGGGTGGGGCTGTGGCCTCTTTCTGGGTGGCCTGCAGGTGCCAATCCATGCAAGAGCCTTTATGAGACTCTTGGAAGCTCTTCGCTCTGTGACACAAGCCGAGAGGCGGACTCCCGGTCCCCTGCGGTGTCTGGGAACCTTCAGGGGGTTGGACAGGGCTCCTCGCCCCCTCCCCCATGGACTTCATTAGTGATTTGAAAAGGTCTTGACCCCTCCTGGGAACTTAGTCACTTTCTTGAGGAATGATTCTGCTGAAACTCAACATGCTCCGTGTTTTCGCGCGCCCCACCATTAATGACCATCTTTGTTTGGAAACGGGATCTTTGGTCTCGAAAATAACCTGCCTTGTCAAGGAGGCACGTGTCCTAGAATGATTTCTGTATTATACGTGGCTTTACAATTCCACGAAGCACCAAGCGCTGTTTCAAATGCCTACACAGGCCAGAGAAAACCCCAGGCAAAATGCCTTTTCTGAATGGGGAGGTGTGAAATCCAAGGAACAGTGGGAGCCCATCTTTCTAGGAAGAGTGTCTTCTTGATTGAGACCAAGGCAGCTTAGACCTAGTTCAGCCCCTTCGACTCTGGGGCAACCTTCATCTCGAACTTTAGTTCTATAAACTACTGAGTACTTCCTTCTGTGTTTGTTGTTTGTTTCAGTGGTGATGAAGGGTTTTGTTTTTCTTTAGATATCTAGCTTAGGCCAAATTCAGTTTAGGAAACATATATTTGAACTATTCTGTATTGTCAGAGCACATTTCTGCTGAGTTGGCCTCCCCCCCACCACCACCACTGTAACTAGGTTGGTGTGCTCAGCTCAGTCAATGGTGGAGGCGAGTTTCTCCTTGAACTTGTGCTCAGAGCCGTGTGTGACGTCCCAACGGCAGGTCTGCTGAAAGACCCCTTCTTTCAACCACGGGAGGTCAAGAATATACAAGCTCCTCACACACGCTGTGTCTTATTCTTTATATGTCATATACTTTAGGAGCTGCAAATCAATAAAGTCACCCTCATTTTAAGCCAAGGTACCAGGTTTCTGCTGATAATACCTTTGGGTAGTGTGTTCTAGTCCTAAAAATGACCAGATTGGTCATGAGGTAACAGGATATGGTGGCAGAAGCCATTTTAAGCTTAGAAAAGTAACTGTAGATAAACCCCAACTCCCCACTGTACTGAGCCTTCAACTTAGGGGCAACTGAGTCATTGGTATAAAGATACATTTTCTTCCCAAATGTCTTGTGATGGATAGACAGGCCTTCCTAGTCAGGCAGTCCTGCAGCAGATGTTCTCTGGAGAGCACGAGAAAAAAACCAAGGTCATGGCAAGATTCACATCCAGCCATAAACTTCAATTTTCTTGACTGACCCCATCAAGAGGGCCATGTCAGTCACTGAGCAGACGCTGTGGGTCCTGCAACCATGAGGGGACACTTGAGTTTCCTGGGCCAAAAGGAGCCCAGAAATGAGCTCAAGCACATGCACATCCAGCTGTCATCCACAACCCGTAGGCATGCCTGCTGTGTGGCTCAGTGGTTGTCCGTCGACCCAAGAACCAGGAGGTCATGGTTCAATTCCCAGTCAGGGCACATGCCTGGGTTGTGGGCTCGATCTCCAGTAGGGGGCGTGCAGGAGGCAGCCGATCAATGATTCTCTCATCACTGATGTTTCTCTCTCTCTCCCTTACTCCCTGAAATCAATAAAAACAAAAACAATTAAAACCTGCAGGCACTTGCAGATAACCACTCTAACCTTTTGGAGAAGGGAATGCGATCGGTGTCTCACTTGGACTAATTCCTGCTCTCAACCATCCATCCCTCTTCTGTCCAAGCAGCTCTCTCACACATGGTTTTGGAAAATCCTTTCCTGAGCAGACTATGGTCAGCCCCCACACAGCCTAACCAACTGCGGTCTTGGTGAGTTGGTAGATTTCCACAGGCTGGGAGGCCCCCTCCTACTGCCCGCCCCTCCTCCCCCAGGTCCTCAGGGGAAACTGTTTCTGACCGGAAGCCTGAATGAAACCTGAATGAGGTCTGCCAACCTCATTATCTGGCCCAATATCTCTCTCCCACAGATAAGAATAACATGAATTACAAGTTTCTGAATAAAACAAAACACAGGGTTCGTTCGTTTGTTAGTTTCCTCCACCATGAGAAACCTCCTGGGCTGCTCTCGCGAGTTTTGCTGACACTGGGATGATCACGGCCTCGGCACAAAGATGTTTTCTTTACAGCTGCAGGGCTCCCTGCTCCTTGACGCAGCAGTGTTCCTGGGCTGAAACATGCCTCCTCCCCCTCCCCCCCCCATACTCAGGATGTTAATTAATTGCATCGTCATTTAAAAAATTATGTTGTTAATTACTGCCTCGCATCTCCCTATCCCTGTCACAGCCTGGAGTCTTTATTCAATTAAATCTCTGTCTTTTGCCCATTTCTCTCGTCACTGTGCGTTCCTGGGGTCTGTCAGTCAGCGCACATACAGGACGCTGCAAAGCTTTTATTTTTCATCTGCGTTCCACATAGGTGACCACGTCCCTCCAGGGTACAGCAAGAGGGCTGGTGGCTTTGATTCTGCCCAAGGACACCTGCACAGCCCAGACAGCTGGAGCCACCTGTGTATGCCAGGCTGGAGGCTCTCAGAGCACCTGGGGCATGGGTGGGGCTGTCTCCTCAGCTGTTCGGTGCCATCCGTGGCCCCTCCAGATGCCGAAACTTCTCTAGGTAAGTGGGTCACACCCTCAATCTGGAAAGCACGATGCTCTGCCCACCAGGGGAGGGATCCTGCTAATTCTCATAAAACACACCGTGGCTGAGTGATAAGATCCAATAGCAGACTGGAAGATTTAAAAAGAGCATTCTGCCCGGCCGGTGTGGCTCAACGGTTGAGCATCAAGGTCTGATTCCCAGTTAGGGCACATGCCTGGGTTGCGGGCTCAATCCCCAGTGGGGGATGTGCAGCAGACAGCTGATCAATGATCCTCATCGTTGTTTCTGTCTCTCTCTCCCTCACCCTTCCTCTCTCTAAAATCAAAATCATACATTAAAAAAGAGCATTCTAACTTCATAGAATATCATCTCTGCTCACCACAGCTCCTAATTTAGAAGGCAGCCCATAGAGAGGAGAGGAAGGCTCCACCCATTTGTGCATCTCTGCGTCTAAGTGAGATGCCACCCAGGGAGCTAAGCTGCTGAGAGAAGCACTCTGCTGCTCCCCGCCTCCGCCTCCTCATCAGGTCACCCACGAGGCAGCACGCTCCCATGCGGTGATGTGCTCGCGGTATCTAGAGCTGATCCTCCCCGGGCTGAATGTGCCCGGCTGGCGGCCTGGGTCATGCAGCAATGCCAGCCTTCGGATTTCAGTGGCTGAAAACAACCAAGGCTTATTTATTCATGTCAGGTGTCTATTGAAGGTCAGCAAGGGGTTGGGGGTGGGCGGGAGGATCTGCTCACGGATTTAGTCAGAGGGACTCAGAATGGCACAGCAGCCAACATCTCACACGCTGCTAGTTGCTGCCAGAAAAGAGCTCAGACGGGTCTCATAGTGGCCTTAATGCTCTGGCCCGAAAGGAACACGTCACCTTCCTTTGACAGTTTATCGCCCGGAACTACTCATGTGACCTCTCAAAATGTGAGGGGCCCAAGTGCCAGGAGAGAAGAACTGGAACTGTTTGGTTCTGGGCACTGGGAGGACCACAGTGAACTTCGACTCCTGGGAGGGCTGGTTCAGAGAAACTAGTAAAGGGAAACTAGCTGATTTATGGTGATGAGATGAAGGACTGCCCATTGGGCCACACCACTGTGCCAGCCTCAGGCTTGAGTCTTGCCCACAAAAAGCTTTTAGTCTAGTAAGTTGCCAACACAAGTAACGCAGCGCAAGGTAGGAAGTGGTAAGTGCAGGGAGGGCGGTGAAACAAAGGCTCCAGAAGTCCCGGGGGAACACCCCACGGGCAGGTGAGCGACAGCTTTGAGAGAGAAGGGGCCTCTGATGGAGACCTTGGTGAGGAGGGCTCACCTTCCAGAGGGCCCACTCAGGTGCCAGCCCAGAGCTGAGGAATTCCCAGGGCTGCCCAGCACCCTGGACCCGGGGGGGACAATGAGTACAACTGCCACCTGGCTTGCCCTGCTCAGCCCAGGCAGACGCTGGACCTCTGCCCCAGAGCCCTCCTTTCCCCGCCCTTACCCCTCCTGCCAGGCCATAGACATGGCCCCTGCCCGTTCTTGCTGCTGCCTCCACTGGGCATGGACCTGCTGCCCCTCCCCCTCCCGCGCTGGCTTGGCTTCTGCTCCCGAAGGGCTGAGCTAGGATAGGCAGGGCCCCGGGAAACAAGGGCGCCTGTGCAGGATCACAGACAGGCGGGCAGCGAGCAGATCTGGAAGACAGGAGAGGGGAAGGGGATGCAAAAGCATTCTATGTTTTTACATCTGAGGCAGGAGAAAAACGACAGTGCCTTCCAGAAACCAGAAACTCAGCAGAACACGGGTGGGGGGGTGGAGGGGGATGATGAGCCCAGTTTGGGCCAAACTAAGTTTGAGATGCTGGAGGGATGTCCAGCCGACAGCTGCAGCTCGGCAGAGAGGTCAGCATGAGACGTGAATTCACAGGAAGCCTGCGCCCCAAAATGAGGTGTGAAGCCAGGAGGGGCACTCTGCCACGAGGGCACAAGTTGACCAAGAGAGATTCTTTGGGCACCATCAACATTTAGAGGTCAAGGACCTGCAATGACCTCTTTGTGAGCCATCGGTCACGCGTACTAATTTGATCCCGTCCATCAGATATTCTTCAGGAACAGCTAAAGAGTGTGGAGTCCGCCCATCACACCAACCCTGGCCAGTCACCCATAAAACATGCTGTATGTTGGAAAATGCACCCTGGCCCGTGTGGCTCAGTGGTTGAGCCAGGAGGTTCCATTCTTGGTCAGGGCACATGCCTGGGTTTTGGGCTCCATCCCCAATAGGGGTCGTGCAGGAGGCAGCCAATCAATGCTTCTTTCTCCCTCTCTCCCCCTCTCCCTTCCTCTCTGAAATCAATAAAAATATTTTTTTAAAAGAAAACGCAAGGAAGAGTGAAGGCTGGCTGTAACTGGAGAGCGGTGCTGAGCTCAGTCGGGGCAGGAGGGCTCATTACTCTCCAATACTCAGCTCCCAACAAAGCCGGTGCCGTTCGACTTGAACAGGGAAACCCATGGATGAGCTGCCATGGGAGAGAGCAGGCAGGAGACTTCAGTGTCTGCAGACCAAACTCACCCAGGCTGGCTCAGCGCTCCTGCCTCCCGGGTCTCCCCTCCCCAGGAGGTCTCAGCAGGGACGACTCACTGGCAGGGACTTAGCCTGGAGCTGGAGTGGGCAGCCGCGTGACTCCTTTCCCTGAGGTGATCTCTTTCCCACACAGATTAGGGGAGTGTGTTGAGACATCAGGGATTATCCAGAGGGACCCGGAGCGCCCACGTGGCAGGTGCCTCCGGCTTCCTGAGTCAGGGAGCGTTTCTTGTCTTCTCTGCAGCTTCACCTGCAGCCTGGGCTGGAGCCAGGCCTGCAGGACCCTGCGGGCTGGGCAGTCAGGAATGAACCCCCGTGGCTAGAAATGCCAAGTGTTTGGGGGAATGCGAGTCCCTGAGACGCAGACTAGCTCATCACGGTTGAAAGGGCTGTGGCCCTTTGAACCATGGCCTTTCATCTCCCCGGAGAAATGACTGGCAACGACACCCTGTGGCTTGTGAAATCAAAGAACCAGACGAACTTCAGACACCGCCTTCCTTAAATGACCAGCAGCTTTCTTTCTCAAATGGTTCGAACATGCGCGACTGCCATGCACGGGTTCTTCCTCTGCCTCCTGGTTTGGAACCTGCAGCTGCCCCATTCTCCTCGCCCCAACTCGATCTCTCCCTGGCCCTGACGCTGGGGGTTGAACCGCATTCTCCCGTGTTTTAGTCCCAGGGGTCACCTGACAGGGCGTGCTGTTTCCTGCCAGGCTGGCCACGAGGATGGAGTCATCGCGTCGACATCAATACACCTGGAAAACTCGAGAGCCTAGAGCCAGAGACCGAGGTTCAGCCCTGGTTCCCCACGTCCCCAGTCTACCCTGGGCAGATCAGATAACCCCTCGGAGGCTCGGCTTCCGATCTGCACCCTGAGAGCATGTCACAGCGTATCTGCCTGCACACCATCCTCTTCCCTTGCAGGCCCTGTCACCGTGCATAACCGGTAACCGAGAACAAAGGGGACCGGCCACTGTGCTGCTCTTAACACTGGCGAGGGTGGGAAGGAGCAGGGAGGGGGTGGAGGGAAGAGACCGAGTGGCTGTGTAATTAATTTGGAATAATGTAAGCACTGAGCTGTTGAAGAGAAACAAAAGTGGTGACATTTAATGAATGTGTCAGTCGATATCTCGCTCATTCCAGCTGTCTTTTTAAATGTCAAATATCTCACAGCTCCTTTTCCTTGCAGCTGGAAGGTTTGTGCCAACGACAAGCACCAACTCTGATTCCTGCCCCCTAGGTTAGCATGGGCACGTGGTTTCAGAAGCAGGAAGTCCTAGAGGCTGCGGGACAGGGAACAATGACCGTCACCCCAGAGAGCCGGGCACGG